TATTTCGCGGTCTTCCGGTGCATTGATTCTACCGGATTGTCACACTATTTGAGATTTATTCACTGCACACTTTATAATTTATCTCCAAATTTGTGTGTTGCATTACTGTACTTTGTGACAAACCTGTCTTGATACAAGGCATTCGGTCTTGTGGGTTTCACGCGTCACACGTCATCGTGAGTTACCTTCCACTGTAGAATGAACATACATCCATATATTTATCAACTTACGAGATCATTCACACATATTCTGCATAAAATATGTCAAAGTCAAAGTGAAAGTTTTATTATGGGAATAACTTACAAGCTCGTCCTTCTCTTGCTCCCATAGGATATTTGGACAGATGAATCGTTACTCGTCGAAAAAGGAATCACATAGAGTTCCGGGCAGTAGATAATGGAGAATGTAGGCTTCAGCCAATTTGCGTTTGCTTTTAGTGGTGAATAAATGTCAGGTGTGCCAAGGTTTCATCGAATCTCTGCTTGAAATATTCGATAGTGAGTGTACAAACGAAAAGAGATGGAAGGGCGTTCCAAGACCTACATACTCTAACTGCAACAGACTGGCACCGGCATTCTAGTCGACACTTTGGAATCAGTAGCTTGAAACGGTGTCCCCTTAGATGTACATTATTCAATAACATGAGCATCGATCGACACGGATGGTTTCACTTCTGCAGTATTTGATACGTCAAAATTAAGTCTCCCAGAATTCGGTGGTACTGAGCAGAATATAGTCCCTATGATAGTAATCTCTTCTCATAGGTGAGGTAATGCAATCCCTTGACCATCTTGATGGCCATCCTTTGTGGACGCTCAAGCACCGCGATCACGTGGAAGCCATGGACTCCAAGCATGGATAGCGTACTCTGTGTAATGTCGAATGTACGCTGATAGAAAACTTGGAATAGCGATGATTCAAACCGGCCAAAGACTCCCCGAAGTAAGCCGACATTCTTCATAGCAGCGGACAAAGCCTTATCACAATTGATGGGGCAGCTTAAATCCTCTCGAACAACAATACCTAAGTCCTTTTCAATATAATTAGATGGTAGCTGCTGGTCCCCGAAGAAATACGAGAATTTTCACTTGGAACGCAGGGATAGGACTTTGCATATAGAAACATGAAATTCAATGTCGTTATCCTTAGACCATTGATAAGCTGCGTTGAGTGATTTCTGAAGTATTAGAGAGCCTTCGGGTTCTGTTACCGTGTTCCAGATTTTGACAAACAGTATTGTTTTTGGATCTAGCACTTTCGGTAGATCATTTATGAAGGTGAAGAACTGACGGGGACGGAGTACGGACCCTTGTGGAACACCACGGGTGGCTTTGATAGATCCCGATATGGAATCAGAAACACGAACTGATGTGGTCCGTTGTTCGAAGAATACTTTAATCCAATGAAACGCGAAATCTTGAACGCCACAATTGTAGAGCTTCTGTAGCAAAATTTTGTGATTCACCCGATCAAATGCTTTCGAGAAGTCGAGATAAATCACATCCACTCCTATCGTCCACTGTACTGGTCCATTCATCTCGAACAAGGAGCAGGTTGGTGGAGCAGGATCGCTTTTGCCTAAACCCGTGTTGAGCTGTCGAAAGAATGTTGTTTGTTTCAAGGTGTTCCATCAGCGAATCTGCTACAATTGACTCCATGACTTTCGATAACACCGGAAGCACGGTTACAGGTCGGTAGTTAGCGGAGTCACTATGATAGCCACCTTTGTATATGGGCGAAATGACTCCTTGTTTCCACGATTCGGGTAGTGTTGCTTGGTCGAACATTCGTTGAAACAGAATGGCTAGCGGTTCGGATATGTGATTTGCCAAAAAGATCAGAGATTTCGGGTATATGTTGTCCGCACTTGGGGTTGCATTTTTTCGCAAAGCCATTATTTTCACTTTGATATTTTCAGCAGTGAACGTGTTTTCAATATTCAAAACACCAACAGAGAGATGGTGAATGTTTGGATTAGCCCATTCGGTTTTTCACAGTCACCAGGCACTACTGATGATGTTGGATATGGGTTTCACTCCTTTGAAGTCCCGGCCCGACTGATCGCGGTTCGAGTACTGACGGACACAAAAAGTACGCGCACTTCTGACGAATCCCAAACAGGACGAAACAGCTGTCCAGTGCTCTTTGTTGGTTATCACAAACATTTTCATCGCATTTAACCCAACATGCTGCATTTCGTGGAAAACACAATCGAGACTCCCCCCTTGGAAATTCAAGAGGATCAAATGAAATCCAATGCTCAATCTCCGCGTTTAGATGTACTGTTAAAGTACTGTTATTTAGTTAATAACATTATCGGATACTAGTCAACGGAGTAATCAAAATGTTTAAGAATGAACTGATATTAAAGTTTGCAATGTGGTTACTTAATTAGGTTTAGTAGTATGTTTAAGCATCGCTTTTTATGTCAAACTGTAGGAGACTGATTGAGTCAGCCCTCTTTGGTCAATCATGTCACGCACTAAACAAAACAAACGCAAAATTCATGACACTGATGATCTAAGATATGCTAACTGCACGCGAACTCAATCAACTTAATCATCTGCACCGAGTCGTTAAGTAAACTACGTCAAAGCTGTCGCAGCTCCCGTACAATTCACGACTCATTTTCTCACAAGTCAACGATACTCCGAGTGTATGGTTGAATCGATGAACTGAGGATTGTGTGTGAAGGTGAAGTCTGAAGGATAGTCAGCTCAAATCTATAAAGCTTTTGTATGGCCGCAGGCCTCTACCTGAATGTGGACAGCACATTTGTATATTAAATAAATAAAAAAAGAAGTAAGAAATATTTATTTGTTTATTGTTTATTGTTTTATGCGGTAGTAGTATTGGCCATACACTTTACACCATTCAAAATGACCTAGGAAGTACACATGGGTCGTCAACCACACAGAACAGAAGGTGGCTTAGTGATATTGCAACCAATAGCATTATTACATTTCTTGAGTTGAACTGCACCACAACCATGAGCTGATCATACGATGTAGCAACTGCAGATAAGTATATTTGCAGTCCAGATAAAAAACATTGCAAAACGAATTGGACGGTATAAATTCTATCACAGAAAGACTGTGTAGATTTTTTTAACTACAGCATCAAACCTTATGATTCATGCGTCCAAGATTCTTTCGCCACAAAAGAACATTAAAATAAGCTGAAGAAAGTTTAAAAAATGGAAAGAGCTTGTTGTGGGCTAACAATCATGTGGCTGGGATGCACGAGTGGAACATCGTCTAGTTTAGTGACAAATATGTTAGTTGGATACGATACGTGGAACTACTATTCAATGATCGGCGGTAAGATGAGCAGTACTTCAGTGTTTTCTTGTTCAGCAAGCCACTCGAAATCACAGTACTATACACAGGACCGAATACATGCCCACTTCCCTCCACTCACACCCAGCAGTGGTTCGCTTACATATTTCCTAGTTATTGCTTAGCGGGCTAATCCAAGAACTTGGTCAGTGGTATCGCTTCATAAACGAAATAACCACATCGAAGTCAATTTTCGGCACAATAATACCGCATTTTACAGATCATATCTTTGAAATTACTGACCATTAAGTTGAGCTGCGGGCTGAACACTGGAATCCTATAGAAAACATGACCAAAAAGGAAGTACAAAGATGCGTGAATGTGCGCTGCAAAACGGGAACTAGATAAAGATCAGACTGGAACCAGATGTGTAGCTAACCGGAGGACGAAAGGAAATTTTTTAAACACTATGCGCAGAAGATGCGTACGAGCCTTAGCTCAAAGCTGTCAGTAAACCCATTATCTAGCTAACCTCAGTGGTCAAGATCCGTGGGTAAATAACCATTTTTCACGTGGTGAAAACTGTAATCTTTAAGTTTATTTTCTTCTAATTAGAAAAAACGTCACGATTTTTGATCACGTCTTTTTAGTTAGGTTCTAAAATTAGTGATGGTTGATTGGACCCATTAACTAAAACAATAAACCGAATAACTAGGATGGACGTAACACGTTTGACGCAGAATTTGTGTTTGCCATAATTTATAAATTTTGCCCAGTAAAAGCAATTTGATCATTTCAAGTATAGTAGGATTCCGTTGTTTGCGATTGGGCACCCGGCATGATTGCTGTGTTGTCATTAAGATAGGCCTAATCGAGAAAAAAATAATTGGTAATGTGTTTTATAGCAAAAACAACCTGCCTATATGTGTGTGATGTTTTCAACACTGGTACTGTGGATTCATGCACCATGATCTCCATTCATGCGGTGATATTTGGATACAAGCGCACCAAATGGTACTCACGTCCACGCGTACCAACAACATTATTTGTCTAAGTGTGAAAATATACAGTAATAATCATTTGGATGGAATTTAATTTATTGAAAAATACCGGGGATACACTTTTACTATTCGCATTTAGAAGATTTAAATTTCTGTTGGAATTTGGCTCATATATACATCCTATCCATGGACAGTAATAGCTCAGCTTTAATATGGTCAGTAGTTTGTGGTATTACATTGTAAATCGTGCGACGGTTCTAACGAACTGCACGAGTTTTCTTTTACGACTGCAATGACGGTTCAACCCGGGTGGGAAATCAGGCACGGTTAATGATTGTTCCATTTCGGATATATTTGTTTTCGTAAAACCGGTTCAACTTCGTTGAGTGTATCCTACACCGACTGTATTGCAAATGTTAGACAAACCTGTGCTCCCTTATGCATGAAAACATGGCATAAGTCCGTCAATATACAAAGGTGGCTGTCATGATGACCCAGCTAACTACTACCCTCTTACTATCTTCCCCATATTACCCATTGTAGAATACAATGTGATGAGCCACCATGTTCCGTTCCCGGTGCAACATGGGCTTCATCGCATGTTATCGTGTTTCTGGCCTGAGAGAAGAAAAGCAACTGATCCCGGTGATACAGTGTACCTCGAATTCTGTAAAAACATTCGACCGAGTGAACCACAAAATACTGCTTAAGAAACTACACCACTAAGGAATTTTGGTTATTATTAGGGGTCAGAACACTCAAGACCGCGTGCTTATCGGAACCGGGATAACTATATAATGCATAATCATGAAAATATATCAATCGATCAAACAATGACCTGAAACTAGGTCAAGCTGGCTCATAGACAAAACGGTCTGGAAGGGTATTGGTCAGTGTCTGCCATGAACCAATGTATCATGTGATTGTACGCGCAAGAGAAGCGGATGAACGAATTCATTTGTAGCGGTCATCAGCCTACATTCGACCGCAAATCGAGTACGCCATTCAAGCGTGAAATCCATGGCTGGAACACGATGGTAACATTCTGGAACTTCCACATAGAATGGCTACCAATCCCAGACCTATGTGGAAAGCCAAAATTCATCGGGGTAATACTCCACATAGTATAGCTGAATTCCACGGGAATTGAATTTGAATTACCAAATAATGCATAATCCTGATCATCTAACATTTTTCTGCACTGTGCGTCTCGTCGTCTAACACTCATTTCAGAATGCATTCAGCTAAATTGGTGCTCCACAACTGTCAACTAGAATGCGGCCGCCTTCCTTCAAAGTCCACGGTGTTTGGAATTTTGTACCACATCACGTTGTTTCTGTGCTGACGATTGATTCTGCTAGGCACGAACTGGATGATACATTATCAAGTCTTAAATTTTGACATCCACAACAGTACACGAAACAAAGTATATTTGAAACATTCCTAGGCTTTCTATGAACTGTAAATCGATTTAGTTGTGCGAAAGCCCTATGGGCCAAGGAAAGCAACCGCTTGTAAGTATTTATGATAATGGAACCTTGACTTCGACTTTGACACATATTACCTAACAGTTCATCAAACCGGATGGTTCTCATTAAATAGTTCCCAAATGATGGCCTTCTTCAGTCGGTGTTTTTGCACCTAGCGCAAATTACTACCCTCAATTGGGTGCATGCATGTTCATTAAATACTATTCTCAATGTGACCTACTCGCGCGAGCAAGATACGACAATGCACTCCGTTCCAATGGCTGATGAGTAACAGCAGTATTTCCATACTCATATTGAAATACCTTCCACAATATACATACATTTGCACGGCTTTTACAATGAACTGTAAATTACGTCATTCACAAACCTGGAAGATATAACTAAAACGAAGCATACCGATCCCACATTAATCTATGTGAATAAAGTTATTTAACGCACTTCGTATCCTGTACGGTATGTGACTACATACAAACGTAAACGCCTTTTGTCACCGTAGACGCCAGGGGTGAGTGAGTTGATAAGCATTCTATAATTGGACACAGTTATTCGTCTTTTGCGAACTGGACACTCGTTGTCGGAGCCTACAGTATCACTGCTGCATCAAATCTGATCACCACAAAGAAGCTTCTTGTTTATATGGGGGGTAAGTTTCAAATTGAATGGAGTAAATCACCAATATGGCTGTACTCTTAAGCGTATTCTGACACATCTCAATGACAACAACACTATATCCCTTTTCCCTTCATAACAGACACAAGGATTCAGTAAACAAGAAGGAACACGGTACATTTCAGTTCACGATCGACACTTTTGTTCATCGTTTTATTCATGCATTAAACGGTATAATTGCTGGAAATGCGCTCACGCGATTGTATCGTCGCAGCGGTTAGCCAAATTTGTATACTTGGATTGCCAAAGTTCCCAAGTAGAAGAAAATAAAGGAGGCTTCCTCGTGCGTCACTTTGCTGAAATAAATATTGTATACGAAAAAAAAATTAATAACAAAACTCCCCGTTATGAATGTTCACACTGCACAAAAATATTACGAATAAAATTTACTACTACTGTTACTACTACTGCTACTACTGCTACTCATAACACAAATGACAAAGTTAAGATGAATTCATTGCCGTGCTCCTCTATGGCTTACCTTCCAAAACTTGCTCCGACTGTGACATGCCACGTCTCCCCATATTTCTTTTCCATCTCGCTTTTGATTGCTCCGGCAATTTCTCCATCTGCCTTGTGCTTTTTCATGGCATCCTGAGCGAATTTGATCACATCTTCCTGCATCTCTTGGGTCATAACAGAATTCTTGATTGTCGGCCGTGTGTCACTCATCTTGTCGATCGGTCAATGTGCTCGAGGGAAGAGACGCGTGAAATTAGGCTCACAGTGGACCCGCTCGCGGACTAACTCATGCCACATATATACCGAAAATTCGTCTCTATTCACTCAGGAGCAAAGGGAGTGAAGGCAAATCATAATTTGACATTGGGCCTGGCAATGAGCAATCATATTTTGCTCACGTGAACGGGTGAAAAGTTAGCCTTCAGATCTAACATTCCTCGCACGGATGATCGATGGTGACGGGTTGGCTATAAGCATTTGGATGCGTGTGTGCGTTAGCAAATACCTTGGCTTCAATTTCTTTGTACCGAAAAACAATGGTGATGTGCTTCTGTGCTTAGCGACCACCCACTCACCAACCAACCACCCACCACCACCACCACCACACCAACCATTTCGTGTGTGTGTGTGTGTGTGTACGTTACGTGTGTGCGTTACACAGCATCTATCCCGAGATGTCAGTATGCCCTGGCGACTCCTCTACCATTAGATCCGTACGCTGCTGAAATTACAACTTCAAAACAAGCGTACTTCCCGATAGTCGTTTTCCAGTTAACTAACCGAGACCAAATCACTTGGGTCTCACGTAGGGTTCAAGGTCATTCATGCGAATTCTCATGCACTAATTCACATGTGCTTTGTTCTGTTGGGGATCTTATTTCGTCAGATGTATGCATGTATTCCCAATATAACGCCATTCACAGCAGGTCAAATATTTCTACCCACAAACCGATAGCCCGTGATTCCAGTTCCGACAAAAATCGAAAAAACAACTAGAATACTATTCTTCTCAATCTAATCATAAGTATGGCTAATAGTAATTGTTGAATTCTGTTCAAATAGTACCAAATTTTTTCTGCACCGACTGCAGCATACGAATACCTGTTGTCGCACCTATATCCGAAAACTTACTTCCGTAGAAGGCATTTGATTGATGATTATACAACGAGAAAAACTGTCATATCGTCAGTCTAGTGTGCCGGAACAGTGGTTCCGGAATACGCAGATGATAATAAGCATGAATTGTTAGTCCGATTCAGTTTGGGTTTGAGTGGTAAAACGCAACAGAAAGGTACAATTTTTCCATGCGAGGCCGTTCCTGTCTATCCAATCTCCTGTTGGCACGTGAGCATTGGGCGGAGTCTAAAGCTGAAGGTTATCCTACGGATGTTGTGTTCGTGGATTTCAGCAAAGTGTTTGATACGGTGTCTCACTCGAAGTTACTGATGAAGTTATGCTCGTTTGGCATCC